AGAAATGTCTAATAAGATGGTAAAAACCAGAAGTTATTTAAAAATGATACGAATTGAGTTAAAATTTCAGCTTAGCCTGAAAAACCTTATTCTTAGATTCACTGAAATACAGAGTGCAGGCTATATATTTGTGTGTGTGCTCACAAAGATTTTTTTTTCTTTAAATTATGTAACTGTAGATGAACATAGGTTGGTTTTTTCTTAGGGCAGGAACTTGTTAAGACACAGCACAGACTAAAGAAGGAAATGTTAAGATGTTGGTTTAAAATTGAAGAATTAAATCTTACTGTATGACTATCTTTATAATAATTTAAGCTAACTATGCACATTTGATGCTGAAATATTGCTAGAAATGGATTTTACATCACTATGCCAATTTAGACAACTTATTAAAGGCGCTATTATTTTGGGAAATTGGATAATGTTAAACTCTAAAAGGCCATTGCAAATAATTTCATTCATTGAGAAACAGCACTTAACAGAAAAGAGAAGAGAAAAGAAAGTATTTTGGATGACATTTAGCTTGACTTCATTTGGGCAAGAGACCTTGAAATTCTCATATGGGCTTACTGAATACAAATCAATGTTTTGTTTGGGTTTTATTTATTTTTTTCTTCCTTTCTCAGTGGGTTATTTTCAGGGACATTCAAGCAATCTCAGCACAGCTTTTTTTTTTTAAGAAAAAAAATGAAAACTTTTCTTGAGACAAAGATATTCAGTCCTTAAAATGATAAAGTCTGGTCAATCCATGTTTGTTGTTTCTTTCTCTATTGCTACTAAAAATAAATCCTTCAGAAGAACATTTCTTTAGGTCACTTTTTCATTATTTCCAGAGGCAAAAGCTGGCAAGGCAATTTATAATTCAATTTTTGCTAAATCCACAACACCTAATATATATGTCAGGCATTTCAACGGCAGGGTACTTTGGGGATAGGTGATAAATTGTGCTGATTATAAGTGCAAGCTGTTCTTCTAAAATATCATATCCAAAAGAAGGCAAGTATTATTAGGAAAACAAAATGTATCTTTAGAATGTCCAGAAACATAAGAGATAATCACTTCACGTGAATATATTTTCCCTTGAGTTTTACAGCTCAATATTAAGGTTTTACCATGATTTGGATAGCACTCATCTGAATGGAGGGACCATTATAAGTTGGTAGTCTTTCAGCAGCCACAGAGCTCTTAGGCCTGCAATAATTCATTTCTCTGAAAAAGAGCTTTACTATGAAACCTGAAACATGGTCATAATAATTTTCTAGTTATGCTGGGGAATGTGAAAAGTCTAAATATTATTCTGTAGTATAATCTGTCCTGATCTTTTAAACAACTTTTCAATATTTCCATGTATTTTCCTGTGGGGTACACATGGCTAATTGTTTATCAATACTGCTGAGCAAAACCAAAATCACTCTTCATAATAATCTTGGTTGTTAAAATAATCTGAAAATGAGGAAAAAGATACTATGTCCTGGGAACTTTCCTGTCAGTTTCTACATTTTTAAAGCAAAAATCTATTAGTACTACAAAGATGAGATCAACCTATCAGCTACAAACAGAAGCAAAAAGTAGGCAAATGTAAATGGGTGGCTGAGATTTGGGGAGTGATGGAAACCTTTTTAATTTTATGTTGTTGGTATGAATCTAGCTTGGCTGATTTAGACTTAGCTGCTCAGCAGATGCTCCTTGTTTGTCTTGCCAACCGTAATTTGTATCCTAATCAGACTCTCTGAGGAGCAGATTGATTTTGTGACTTTTTGTTTTTAATCATCTTATTACTCATCCTATATTATCATCCTGTTTTAGGCTTGTTTTCCTTGTTTTTAACTTTTCAGGAAATTGTTTCTTGCTTTAAAGGCAGGCACTCATTATTTTTTCTGAAACAGGAAAAATTCACTTTAAAGGAAAGAAAATAAAAGTACAAATTTCATATGTAACTAAGAATAAATAAAGGGTCAGTAATAAAACCAATAAGGCTCAGAGTAGAAAATGACAGCTTGAAAAGCTCCCGTTCTTTCGAGTTTCTATTTGTCTGCTACTTTTATTTCTCAGTTTCTTTCAAATTGTGTCCTAAATCTTCTCTAGAAGTTCTCCTTATTTTATATAGTATCAGCAACCTTTTGTGGACTCAAGTGCTTCAGTCCTCCTTGCCCTCAAACTCTCAGTTTTTGTATCATTTAAACTCAATTAATGAAGATGAACAAAATTTGAAAACAAATGATTACTCATGAACCAGACCAGCTTAGTGTGCACACTTGTCTGAAAGACTGATGAGATAATACCTGCAAAAGAATGGTCTGCTCTGACAGGAAAAGGAGAACCAATGTATCCAGAACACCCAATAGCTCATCTGGCAGTAAATGAGAGGTCAAAATGTCACTCTTCCAGTCCTGCCCCTTGGGGTGTTAGAAACCTACGAAAGAAGTCCCAATATCTGCTCAACAGTATTATAGGCATTCCTTTAGAATGGGTGGGAAATTAAAAGTGGGTGGAATTATGGATAGAAAAGATATATTCTCAAAGGTAAAATGAAACAACTTTGGAGAAAGATTGAAAAATACACTGCAAGGAAGTCAGTGAGAAACAGATACTCTTTAGCAAGAGGCAGGGAGACATGCTTCAAGAAATTTGAAGAAATAGAAAATAATAAAATGGGGAAGAATCATGAAAATGTTCACGCTCTTATTTTAGTTTTTACCTTTGAGATTCAAAAATAATTCCTTAAAAAGGGAGATGAGAGAATTGTAGTTGAGAATGGCTGGCTCATGACTGATGATACAAGGCAGGCACGCTTTCTGTTTGGCTACTTTTCTTGGGCAGAGAAGGACACTGTGTTATAATACCCTTCTAGATAAAGACATGCTGAAATTTGTAAGGCTGTTAGTTGAACCTAATCTCACACTGGTAAAAGCTGTTACTACAGCAAGGCAGATTGGATCAGCTATTAATAATGCAAAGATGTCATTACTTCCCAAAAGATTCTTAGCACAGCTTGTAGGAGAGAATAATATTTTTCATGTTATTAGAAGCAGACGTAGAAGGGGACACTGTCTACTTTATGAGTAGCAAGGTTTTGGTTTTTTTTCTGAAGAGAGTTTTAAAGAGCAGGGAAAAGACACAGACTAGAGAAGCTAAATAATTCATTTTTTTCTCCTAATTTTCCATTAGATAAAATTTGGGCTTCCATTAATACAAAATTCCTATTATGGATACATCCTTGGTCTTGAAGAGCGTGGTAGAGAAGAAAGTAGTTTTTTCAGAGGTAATGTTTATTTTTGAACATATTTTTCTATGCCCTGATGACACATGAAAGGACTTGTTAGAGTCCTTATGACTTTATTGGGACAGAATTGAGGCTGGCCTGTAAATATCCTCAAGCATAGTAAAAGCATGAAGTGTAAAAAGCATAATTTTCAGCCTTCTGGAATAAGAGCAGACCTTTGGTGTAGATGCAGTTCTTGGGCTTTTTTTGGTGGTTTTTGTGAGTTTTTTTCTTTTCCTTTTTTTTGTTGGCAGAGAAGAACTTATTAATTAGTTGGTGGATTTTGGGGACTCTGTATGAATTTCTATGCAAAAATTTAGAATTTGAATCACTGATGTAGCATTTCTAAAACGTTTCCTGCTGAGAGGGCTGAAGAACATAGGAATGTTGTATGCTCATGTGAGTCTCAGAGACCCTCTCAGAGACAGGCAAAACATATATTTTGATATTGAAATACAGATAACTATTTTCAAAATAAATACAAATACAGGTCCTCTTGAATATTATACTTATTAAGTGGACTGCTAAAATTGTTACTAATTGAGGTTATGTGAGATTAAGAAAGACAACTTCAGATTTCACACAGAGGCCAGCCTTCAACCAATCCCCTAATGACAAGAGTCTGTTTCTATACACTCCCTAAAATAAGAATAATTGAATAAAGATCCAGGTCTTTTCTCTCTTTTTCACAGCAATCAAAAGAGTTTAGTTTGACTTTCAAAGGATTTTGGGTTGGGTGCATGTGCTCTTAAAGAGGTGGTAATGCAGTATAGAAAGCAATGGGTGAAGAAGACAAGTCCAGGATCTGAGCAGCGTGTTAGGAATGCCAAGGCGCCATTAAAGTAATCCATTGGCCTTTACATACTTTTCTGGTAGAAAAGAATGGACACAGACTCTGGATTAACCTTGTGTTCTCTAAATCTGGGCAGATGTAAATCTCATCTCAAAAACTGAGAGAAGATTTTTAATGAAAGAAAGCTTTTCAGGTGATGTCATAGGCCTGAAAATATATGGTAGGATCAAAAAAGTACAATTAAGGTTTTCTTAAATTACTTCAAAGTAAATGTGATTTGTTTTTTTAATTAGTTCAAAGGCTTCTGTGAGAGATATTCCTCCTGGCTTTCTTATTACCACATAAGGTTGAAGAAAAAAACAGGAATTGTATCCATCTGAACATGGAAATTCAGGAACTTCCATAGAATATGCTATCCCTGTTTTGCTGCAAAAACCAGGTATTTAGGGTTGAGATTTTTGCAAGAAACATATCAGAGTCTGCTGTCATTAAGAGGGTGAAACGAGGGAAAGATACCAAGACCTTAATTAATTTTATAATGCCGAGGAAATGCTAGCAAAGTTAAAATAAATAGAGACCTTGGGCAAATGGAAATCAAACTTTCAATTACTCTAAAATGGATTCTGGCTCATTGGATCTAGCTGACACTTTGATGTGTTTAAATCCTTGCAGACGCTATGCAAGAACTGAGCCCAGGCCAAATGCACCCCCCTGCCCTTGCGAACGCAGAAGCGGCGGGATCTCAATGGTAGGAGAAGCAGCTCGTTCAAGAAGGAAATTTGTAGATATAACATGAGCAGCAGCTGTCATTAAAAGTCAAATGACTACTTTTAGATGTTAGTGAAGGTTATCAGAAGGCAAATATAGCTCGTTAGATTACACAACCTACTTTCAGGATTTTGCTGTGTTTTCCTGTTTAAAACAAAATCCGTGTTGTGAAAGAAGTAAAAAGGCAATGAACATAGTATTTATTTTACTGTACTTCAACAGTAATTTCATAGTCAGATGTCTCTTTAAAAGTATAAACATTTCCCATTCCTACAGTTGATATCCTAAAACTGCTGAACATACATACATCCATAACAGTACTCTTGCAATAAACAACAAAACAAATTGTTTGTGTATCAAGGTATTTACAAGATACCAGTAACAATAAAGTTTGTGCTCTGAACAATTTTTTTGGACACAAAAAAGTCAGGAAACATGAGGAAACCCTAAGACAGTATAATTCTAGCACTTGGTTTTAATTAAAAACTTTTTCTAGACCTTAAGCCACATGTTACTTGTATATACTATCAGGATACAGGAAAGAAGAGAAATTTCACTGAGGCTTGTTAACCCAATATTCAAGGCAGTTCAGCTAAGAAAAAGAAACCAAACAATAAATGGGGAGGGCTGTGAAATGCAGGTGAAGTTCTTTCAGTGAAATCAGAATGATGGCACTTTGTAACATGGGAGTCTGAAAAGCAGAAATATATCCTTTTTTTATTTTCATGACATATTCTCAAAAGTGTCTGAAACATCTGAAACAGCCACTTATTAGATCTAAGAAGTGATCAAATTCAAATTCAATTTTTCTTGAAGAAATAAAGGCAACTCTTTTCCAAATGCAGGCCCTATGTAATGTGAGTTTTTTTAGCTTTTTGTTTCTATGCAGTCAGTGAAGTTCAGTGTTAGTAGCCAAGCTGAATTTTCTGATTGGAAAGAAAGTAAAAAATTATTTAGAATTCATTCAGAATTCAGAATATCTGAATGTCATGACACTGTGACTTATTCTATAAATATTCAGTATACAATGCAGGACTGTAGCCAAATAAAGCACTCTCTGACGGATTTGGAAATACATAGGAAGGTGGATCAGCTGAAAAAAATTGTTATCTGAAAAAGGATTGACTTCCAATGCTGCTTGTGAAATAGCTTTAGAAATGAAATATGTGCTAGAACAAGAAAGGAAAACCACCAGATGACAAAATGGGATGGATAAAGTGCATGACACAACAAAACAAAAAGCCTTCCTTAAAACTCCATTGTCATAACATATTCCTCCGCTGGGTCCATGAACAAAACACTTCCCAGGAAGTGCAGTGCAAGAGCAGGAGGTCGATGAAAGTTATAGATGGGGAAGCAAATGCAGCTGAGAGGTTCAGAACGGGGTATTTAAGCCTGGAGCTGTGAGCCAGAGCAGCTCTGAGCACTGTGCCGAGCCCAGGACAGGAAAGTGCACAGGAACAAGCACATTCTGGGACTGAGCCGAGTGCATACAGCTGAAGTGCTCTTGCAGACAAGCTACTTTAAGAAAAAAAATGATGTCACTCTTTTTACATTGCAAAAATGTAGGCTAGCATACCCTCCTGATGGGGAGTGCAGATACAGCGATAGGGCCAGGAGAGCTATGCTTGAGGTTAACTGAATGCCTAACATGTGTGTCCAAGTGGGAGGAAACTGTGGTGAGACAAGAAATGAGAGAAATAATTCATTTAGTGTCTGGCATGATGACTGTGAATTTCTTTAAAGACAATTTCTTTATATTGTGTAGGTTTGTGGGCTTTGGTGTCTTTCTTTATTGGTGCTGGAAAGAAGTACATCTCCTTGCTAGGACTAAATTATGATCACTTCAGTTTTGTGACTATTAATCAAGGGAAGGCATTTGCAAGCCTTTCCCAGCCACATATCCTTTGAGGGTTTTGAAAGCTATAGAATGCAGTTTGTTATCTGTCACTGCGGGGCTGTGCCAAGTTCCATGATGCAGTGAAAGCACAGTCATATGCTGCAGCTGACACTTTCCCACTGACCTCAGCTCATTGCACTGCATAAACAGAAGCTATTACGAGTCAATATGGTTCTTGGAGTGGGGCTATGCTGAAAGGAGTGCAAGAAAGCTTTCCACGTTTCTGCAAGGTTCAAAGTGAACAATGTGCTTTTCCTGTCACATCAGCAGACGAGGCTGTCATATCCTCAGTTCACCTCATAAATAATAGGCATAGAGGACAGTTGTATAAGGCTGCAGTTCAAAAGGGTTCTAATCTGACAGCAGACACTGCCTTTCCTTGACATGCTCACCTTTAGCCATGCTTAATGGTTGGTGTGTTTCAATTTAATACTGCCTGCTTGGTGAATCGACACCCAGGCTTGTAGGGAAAGCCTTGCAAGGAGAAGCCACTGGGCAAAGGACAAAAAAACCCCAAACAGGTAAAGCCTAGCAGCACTATGGCAGCTTCTGTGAGAAGACACAAATTTGGGAGTGGGTCACCAGGCTTGGGGACCTGCCACATACCTTTTCTAGTTTGGTGGCAGATGTCAGGGAAGGAGATTGAAAGGAATCAGCTGTGGCCTCTGGGAAGCCACCACCAATCAGGAGGTGGTGGTGGGCAGAGGGGTTGTTTTCTTTCCTGCCCCATCCCCGGAGGTAAATGTGAAGGACTGGAGAAATAAAGCAGGGATTTATTGGGAGGGAGCAGATTTACTAGGAACTGGTGGGCAGGGAAGCATTAACCTTCTGCTCCCTCTATGAGCTGATCTACTGGTGGTGGGGCACACAGCTCCTGTCCCTGCCTGTCTTTCTCCTGGGGTCCTCAAAACAGGCCATGAGGCCATGGCACCCTGTATGGGGGCATTTCATTTCCTCCCTTTCCCCCGTGATCTGCCAACATAAACAACTGCCTGCTTTCACCTAAACTGAAAACCAGATCTGCCTCTAATCATGTTGGGTGACTGTTGACATGTGTAGAGTTTGATATTTTGATAATATTATATGTCTGTGATAATACTTCATTACAGTTATGTCCTTGGCAATAATTCTTTCAACACAGTCACTTTTGTCCTGCCCTTTGAGTTACAGGAAAGCATTGTAAGGCCACATTTTGCTCTGATGGTCACATTACAATTCAGATGATTTAGAATCAATCAGCATTTGATATACCTCTGAGAAAGAGCAAGCAATGCATTTATTTCTCTTGTTTTTTTTCTTCTAAAGGAAATTGTGCATGTGTTTGGGAGAAAGGGGAGAAGACTTTTTTTCCCCTGCTCAGATTTGCTTGTAATTTGAAACCATTACTGGTGTGTTGTCATATAATATTATACTCCTCCATTTTACAGACTCTTTACAGTTAGTTCCTGATTGCTTGCCTGCACAGAGAACATCATTAAACCATAACTTGAAAATTAGCATGCTGATCAGCAGCTTATACAATGAATCTGTGGGAGTTTGTTCTTTTCGTATAGCAAGAAGGGTATGTTAGATTGTGCTTTTAGATCAATCTCTCCTAAGTAATATGTCTTGTGATTTGAACAGCAGAAACTTGTTTCTATGTTTTGAGTAAGGTAAACCTTTGTTTACCACTTCTTTCACAGATGGTAAATTCTCTATGTATGTTTTATCAATAGTCTGAAATCTCATAAATGCTCTAGTGGAGATAATATAATATTTAAGCATCTGCCAAAATGAAAGTTTAGGCATTGTTTGAAAATGAATTTAGTGACTTGCAAAATCTTGAAGAATATTTCTGATGCTTCCTTGAAGTAAAATTTTCCTTTGGATCGATAAAGTAAAGCATTTCCTTTAGACGAACATGAAATGTATTGTGTTGCTATTAACCAGTTTTTATTAATCATATAAAGTAAGATTAGATTGGCTCTAGAAGTAGAGCAATCTGTCACTTGAAAATAGTTACACTATTTTTGAGAATAAATGATTATATTTGCAAAGTTGCTCTTTGCTTTCTAGAAATTTGTTCTGAAGATCATGGGGACAGACCGCTAATTGCCTTTGTTTTGTTTCCTAAAACCAGCAAATTAGACCAATAAAAATATATTTCTGCAAGGAAGATAGGAATAGACTAAAAGGGCATTTTTTGCAGTTGGATATAATTTCTATAAAGTTTTCAGGAAGAAGTGCCTGGCATATCTCTAGCATGCACAATGTTGAAGATATTTATATTTTAAGTCTGCTAAAGCACACACCTGGTGCATCTTCCTGCCTGTAATCCTGAGCCCATAAGATTCTGGACAATGTGAATATGCCTCTCTTCCTGTTCCTGATAATGGAAGATAGAGATGAACAAACCTATGCAGGAGCAATTGGAAATGTGCTGACTTAATCCTTAATGAGAACTGTAAGAATGTTTTTCTTGTGCAACCCTTTTTTACTGTCATCAGTATTCAAGAGAACAATACAATCCTATTAGAGGTAGTCAAGATTATGGCCTTTCTTGGTTCATTTGGATTCACTTCACTACTGAAGTTTGGCCTGAAGGCAGGGTTATTTTGATGCCTCCAGATGGCACAGTGTCTGCCAACCTGCAGAACATGCAAGTTCAAGTATCTTTTTGTGCATGGAGTTCAGCTTGACTCTTCACCATGCAAAGAGGATGACTCCATATAATAGTTTTGTGATTCACTTTTCCAGCAGAAAGGTGGGAGCTGTTCCCTGACCACATGCAAATGTGTCTCTGGTGCAGGTCTGCATCTGGGTTCCCACTGTGGTTGATATGAAGGCATTAATCTCAGATATAAAGAAGGTCTGAAGATGCATGCCCCAAACAATACCCACAGCTCCTCAGTATCTCTATGAGACCTCTGTAAACCCCTAAATTCAGACAAGAGGTGTGACTCCTCCCCTACAGCATTTACAATTTTCACTCTGAGGAAGTACCTGTAGGTTTGCGATAAGACTGAAGGCCTCTTATTTCTTATTTCCTGCTTTATTTCACCTTTTTATTTTAATTTCTAGTTGTTTTTTTGTGTAGTAGGAAAGAGTTATAAAGACAGGTACTGACTCTGCAGATGTAGGAGCAAGAATGAATATTTTGGACGTGAAAGACATGAGGACTGAGAGTGAAACATGAGAAAAACTACTGTTATTCTTCTTGCTGGCCTAGTTGTGTTTAACCAGAGGGGAAAAGAATTGATATAAGAAACAGCCAGGAACTAGCTCCAGCTGCTGTCTGTCTTTCCCATGAATACCCAAAACTCCTGAGCTTTTTGTGGAAGTCTCCCTCACATTTTTATTTAGTCCAGCATGATTTTTTTTCCCAACAGATGTTAAAACCAACCTTTTGCTTGCAAGAAGTTTTGCTTTGATGATTCATTATAGTCTGAAAAAAAGTTCCATATCAGCTGTTAGACAAGAAAAGAGTAAAGCAGTGTTCAGAGAATATAAGTGACAGAATAGTAACCTGGCTGATTACAAGGTTAGGTGCTGGTGTCCAACCTATAGATGTATCTTTTCTTTCTCAATGAACTTTTCATCCTTTTACTGACATTAGTTCTTCTTTTTATTCAATTAGCCCAGAAAGAAAGCTTCTAGCAGGGCGAGTCAGCTGTTGTCTGCTGAAAAGAGACATACAAATCTTGTCACATAGCTTTTATTTCCATGGTCAGGAACCCTCAGGCCTGTTATTAAGGCAACTTAGGCTTGTGTGGAACTTTGCTGTCTCCTGCACACTCTGAAATAAGATTACATGATGGAGAAGATCAATTTACTGAGAACATTTAAGCTCAGAATATTAAGCTTTTTGTGCAATCACATCTCCTCTCTAGCTGTGTGGCAGAAAAGCTAGCCACAAGATCCTTGACAAATTAGATATTACCACATCTAACTGTGTATATTTAAGCTTATCAAACTGAATCGTTGCATTGTGACTGTGCTCTTACATAGACAAGGACTCCATTTAATAAATGCAGTGCCATTTAATAGTAATTAATCACCCAACTAAAATGTCACATTAAGGTCAGAGAGACCAGGAGACAAAAAAGAAGAGAACATTAAATTCAGCTGACAAACATAGGAAAAGAGAATATAGAGCCAAAGAAAGTTCTGGGACATTGGCACTGGTAAAACATTTAATCCAAACTTCTTTACTTTCCGTTCAGTTCAGAAATAATCACATTCACTTGGTTCAAAGCAAGGTCATTTTTGTAACTTTTAAATGAAATTTCCTCATAGCGTGTACAGTGACAGCCCATTGCAAGCTTGGAATTGTTGGTGCATTTTACAGATGTTGTGTTCTCAGTATTTGCTGTTTCCTTCCTCCCTGTTTCTCTCTTTTTTCCTTTGCTATTATGACATTCTTCATTTGTGTGGAATTTTCCTTAATATGTCCTGCATGCAAGCACTCTAGAAAGTCTCAAGTTTTTGGAGTTTACAATGCAGAATTCGATTTCACATTACTACTGTGTAGTGCTTTAGTTTTTGTCGTGGTTTAATCATTCAACAGCAACAAAACCAAAAAGAAATCATTCAGTTAAATAAGAGGATTATTTGTGTTCCGTGTTTCTATAAACAGGAACTCTACATAGGAAGCTGTTTCAGAGGAAGCATGTTTGCCATCAGCAGAAGCAAATATATATGGAATTCCTTATTCTAAAAAGTTGTATATTGCAGAAAAGGAGAAACTCCATTGTTAATTCCACTTCTTCAGAATTGTGTTAATCAATTTCAGTGTAAGTGTATGAACAGGTTTGTACATGTGGCTGTATGTGAATATGCTTACATTATTTCTCAGTGCCCTTTTTCTTTTCCTTTGTTTTATAGAATTTAGAAGCGAGCAATCACTACTGACTTTTAAAACACGTATTTTCAGAGGCTAAATATACTGGTTTCTGTCCATGAAGAAATGAACTTGTAAAATACAGTCAAGGATGAAAATATGGTTTTGTCAGCGGACGTTACAAAATTCAGACAAATGGCTTCTAAATAGACTTGTTTTTCAAAGCATCTATCATTTCCCCTTCCTGTTCCAGAGTTCTCAGTTTTATGTCCAAGGATTTTTGTATTAGCATTGTGAAAAAGAGTAATTCTTCAAAAGTTACTCTACATTTGGCAAGATCTGTCCTTATAACTTCTGCGTCAGTCCAAAGAATTTTGGCCTTTCCAAAGGTTAAATATTATCTTTCGAAATTGTGTAATTCTGGGTTTGTCAGGAAATGTCTCCATTTTCTATAATAACCTTTTCTTTCCTTACCTTTAATGTCAAAAAGTTCACATATGCATGCTCAAACTCATGATATTGAAATATTTGTCACTAATTTCTCATACTTAGATGCATGGTAAATATTAACTTGGTACTGGTCCTGGCTCTGGCACATCTGGAGAGACATTTTCCCGTGTGAAGTGAAATCATAGTTTGCGGTGCTGGTTATCATGCATTGATGCACATTTTAGTTTTTAATGAAGGTTTTGATGATGCAAAATTCCAGAGTTCTGATGGTAACATCTGAATTACCTTTGCAGGCTTTGTAGATGAAAAATTACCATTCTCTATCAGTTGTCTACGTTTGTGCTGATTTCTGGAAGAACAGAGTTCACTGTATTTCCACGAGCTTCTGGGACAATCCTACAGACATGACCCCATTTCTTACACAGCCCTGACAGTTCTTCAAGACAAGCATGTTTGACAGTGTAGGTTGAAATATTATCTCGTTTATTTCATAAGCCAGTGGTTTCCAAACTGTGGTCTGCATTCCAACCTAGTGGGCTGTCTTTAGTAGAGCTTGGCTGGTCTGTGGTCTGCAGCAGATCCTGTGGTTAGCTGGGCTTCCATTAGGAAGAAAATTTTCTGGCTAGTAGCACAGCCTCTTCCAAAATGTGTGATCCATAACTCCTGGAACACAACAGGATCCTACATTAGACTTTTGAAATCACAGGCCGATTTTTTTTTCCAAACCTAATTTGTGCTGCGTTGGAACAAAATAACAGTTGGCCACACAGCAATTGGTAGCTGTAGTAGTAGGTGATTTGCCTTTTTAAGGCTATTTTCAGCAGCTAGATGAAAGCCAGTCATTTTTGTAAGCAATTTTGTAATACAGCTCATGGCAGAGGTAGTTTGGAAACTTTTAACTAAAGTAGAACATTCACCAACATTTCCAACTTTCTGTTCTGGTTCAGTTGTTTCCTTTTCTTTCATTGGCATCCCTATAATGGCACTCCAACTCCACTTGTGTCTTGCATTCATCCTTTCATACACTCTGGCTTTGGCCCTTCTCTTTTTCTTTGACTTCAACATTGGTTTCTGCCTTCAGTTCCCTTCTCACCATCCTTCCTGCCCTCTCTCAACTTTGCAACTCCTATAAAATTGCTGCATTTCCAAATATGCCTTCTACTTCTCTGGCTGTGCAGGGCACTACTTTTACTCTGTTGCCTCTCTGCCTGGAGCACACAGAGAGTGAAAGGGCTTTGGTCTCAACTCTGTCCTTTCCAGAGACTGCTCTCTTGCTATCTGTTGCTTCAAAAAACTCCTTGTTCAGCTCCTTGTACCTCTAGATTGAAACATGCTCTTCTGACAGACTTCTTGGGAAAAACTAATTCTTGTATGTACACTCTGAGCATGAACAGTGTGAGATTTTGAGAAGACTTTTGGCTAAATATAGGTGCAAGTATGTCACTGTTGCTTTGGTAACCTTGTCAAAATACACTGCTAAACAAACAAGTACACAAAGAATATCTTTCTTTATATCCCAGGTATTTGAAACACAATTAGAAAATGTTTCTCTGTGAAAAAAGAATCAGTAAGCAAAGCTTTCATTATAAAATGTACATTTTTTTTTTTGCCAGAAGGTTTGGCTCCAATGTATTTATCATTGTTCAGTGTGTACATTTGCATTTTTTTGCACAATGGTATGGGTGCAACACTGTGTCTTTGCTTTCCACCTGTGATTTGCTTGTGTTCAGCACATTATTTTCCATAGAGTTGCTGCCAGAAGATAGGGCTTTCAAAATCCAAGGAAATATGGAGTACTTTGCTGTCTACATGAAATGCTGTAGCTTGACTCATTATAGCTAAAGGACAGGGGAAAATGAACACTTTTAAAGTAAATTCAATTTTAGTTACAAAAAACCTCCACAAGTCTTGTGCTAGTGTCTGTCAAACCTACCTGCATTTGACACTTTCAATAGTGACACAAACCCACCATTGCAGTTGCCTCACTTTAAACTCCTAAGAAATTATTTGGTGCAGTAGATCTCAAGGGAGAAATAAATCACTGATCTAAATGCTAATTTCATCTTCACCAAATGTTTGCATGAGGGTGATTATGTCAGTGTAGTCCCATAACTAGCAAAAACTGAGGGCTTTCCTGTCCAAACTCATAACCTCTACATGAGCAAGGCCCAGTTTAAATGGGTTTTGTTTTACGAGCTGAACTTAGTGCAAATATAACTGTGACACAATGAATTGTGACAAATACTTTTAGAATCCTTACACATGCAGCAACCTATGTATAACACAAGGAAAGAAGTCTCCTGGCTTTCAAGGGGAGGGGGATGAGTATGCCCTCAGTACTGTCCTCTCCTGAGCCTTGGGGGATACTGGTGCCTTTGAAAGGATTGCTCCCTGGATGAGGCTCACGGGGAGTCAAAGCAAACACTGCATTATGTATATACATATATGTAAAGGCTGTACGTTCTGGTCACAAAAAGGAGGAAGCAGGCTGTGCTGATGAAGTCCCTTTTCTTCCAAAATACTTGCCTGCTTCCTGAGCAATGCCATAAGGAGCTTACCTTGCTGAGGATCCCTCACCCCCTCCAGGGGACAGCATTCCCCAGCCTGTGCCTGCGCTGCAACATGCTGGGTGTCTTTTATTTGTTTTCTATCCTGGCGACACCACCCCTCTTGGGGCAGACGCTTTAGTGAGATGGATCGCACTCAGGTAACTGGCAGTTCAAGGAAGTCCTTCCCTGGGTTGTTTACACCAAGGCGTTTTAGAGCAGCCATTTAGCTTCCACCCTGTCCCACCCCGCTGACCAGCTGTAAGTGTAAAGGCCGCCAGTGGGCCTGCAGGTCGCTGATAAACTAAACCCCCATTTGGCAGGCAAGGAAGCCAGAATGATAAGGATGTTGATTTATGTTTTATCTGTCACTACATTTTCAGTAAAGTTGGGCAGTGAGCCTTAACGAAGCGAGGGCTGTTATCACCTCTCCTTAGCCCTTTAAGTGCAGCAGGCTCTTTGGTGTCTCTCGCTGAATGTCGCTTTGTTAATTGCGACGGTAAACAGGACACAGCGCTGACCATCGCACTTACCACAGAACCGCTGGGTTTAGGAAAGGAACCTGGGTCCAGGGGGAGTCACACATGAAGAAGGGTTCGTAGAAGTACTCAGCATTTCCTGGACTTGCTTCTATCATTTAAAATGTATTGCATACCTTGAAGTGAATGTAATGGCTGGCTTAATTGGAGATAACTTCACTGAAGTGGCCATGGTTACCATTTATGTCAGCGGTGAATGTGCCCTTTAATGCTGTGCCCCTCAGGTATGGCTGTTCAACGTAGGAAAAACCTGACAACACTCATTACCGGTGAAATAAATGTTGTGAATTATATGTATGATTAGGTACCATTTTCCCCTCATTTTGGATATGTGAGCGTTATTTTTCTGAAAGCATCGTAAGATTTTACACATTATATTTAATGGCAAACACATTTTTAGTTTTGTGAAGCACCACATGCTTTTTGGGGTCAGTAGAAGTGCCCACGGAGAAGAGGGTGGAAAGAGCTAGGAAAGAAATGCAAGCAATAAAATATTAAAATATTCTGACAAAACCAGAACATGGAAAATCTGAAAAAATCCACCCTAAGCAATTCTTGTTACATCCTATGCAGAATGGTAAAAATACAGATTTTTATTTTCCTTTGTCCCCTTTAGATTTCTTTTCCTTTTTTCTTCTTTCTCTCCCTCTCCCCAAATATTTCACCTTACCTTTCAAGTCTGTCATTATATTTCTTTCTAAACAAATCTAGAAAGAGAAAAAGGAGCTAGTTCCTGCTTGGGGTCAGTGGGAACTTTGCCATTGACTTTAAATAGGTCCAGAAGTGGGCCCAACAGAGCATTTTATAGCTTCCTTTATTTATCTTAGGTTTTATTTTGAGCAATGTGTCTTTTGTATGACTGCATTATTTCCACAGTGAACACCATAATGATGTATATGAGTCGTGGACTCATATACATTATTATATACACACGTACTGAACAAAGCGTTATTGATAGTTATGCTCTTTTAAACAAGAGTAAAAGACAGCTATGAAACTACAGCACAAGGATGCTTTTATGGTGCAGATTCAGTACAGCATTAGTGTTCTCCAAAAGTCTGTGCAAGGTGCTACTCCACACCTATTGTCAAGAAATCTGTTGATTACTGAGAAACAGGTGATTAAAAAGAAGTAATTAATGCTTTAGTCTAAGAAGCCAGGCCTGCAGTTCATTAGGTTTTGTAAATGATGCCCATAGCTGATCTGTTCTTCCTGAGAGAAATGCATAATGAATCACTGTTCTCCAACTGGAATACACAGGAACTGTACTGAAATGTTTGAGCTTAATATCTCTAGGCTAATGGGCCAAGGATAACAATAAAAGTTTGGCAGAAATCTGGCTGATAACTGGGGATATCAGCTATGGAGTGTGGTGGCCATTTGTTACACAAGATTCAGATGAACATATGATGGAAGGGACTATTTCTGTCTTTTGTTGATGACAGTTATGAAACTTGGGTTCTTTGCAAAGCTGTCTCCGAGGAATCCCCAAAGGGCCATCTCATGCATTGAGATAATTTTTCACAATTACAAATGCACTGTACTAAAACCGTACCAACAATGTAAATACAAGAAAAAAATGAAGATGGTTTGTTGTAAAAGTGGCTGCTGTCATGATTTAGGACCACCGGCCTCTCTCTGTCTTGTCAAAAATAAGGTAGACTCCCAGCTGGATAAAATCTTCAGCTTACAGAGATCTGGCAATGAGGATGGATCAAAGGCATGTTTTTCTCTCACAGTCATTATGAGAGATCCTCTGCATCAACTGTGCTTAGGACAGACTAGCATGAAAGTGCAACACCTCTTTCACCCAAGTGAAAAGGGCCAGCTGAGCTGTGCAGGTGTGTTGCAGGAACCAGAAAATGTCATTGCTGTGTCCATTCCCTTCTGGTAGCTGAAGTCAAAAATCAATTTTCCTTCCAGTTAATGTAGTTATGTTACTTGTAAGGCAGCCTTGATGCTGCTGGGTTTGTATTCCACAATATATTACAGCAGCTGTCTGGAGAACATATAACCTATTTACTTCTGGTTGTCACGGAAAGAGATCTACTACTAGGCAAAACAGAAGCATTTATGGAAACCCATGGGCGAGGAGAGGCCGCAGAGCTTCCAGCAACTGAAGTCCTGCCCTCTGAACAGAGGCACACAGACAGTGCCTGGCACGCAGGGTGAAATACCAGCTCATGGCAACACACACAGTGGGATTGGTGCTTGCACCCAGAAAACATTTCTGAGAATGAAAAAAACCTGTAGTCATTAGTTACCACAAAAATATACTGTTGGCAACCAATTGTCACTCTAGCAACCTCAAGAGAAGAAACAACTGCTTGCTGAATGAGCAGCCCTGGCTGCAGCATAACAGTCTAGTATACTTGTTAGACTGGAGCTGAGTAAGAAATTTTATAAATATAATTTATTTCTTTAATTGATAAATTTCCCACAAGCCAACATGGCTAATCTACGGTATATTTGCTTTCCCAGGTGTTTGCTGAAAGCTTCCTGCAAACATATCTTCAGTGTTCATAATAAATTTTCCTGCATGCATAGTTTTCCAGTGTTATTATTATTTATTTGTGACAGAAAAAATAAATCTCTAAGGATTTGTATCATATAAAAATATATATAATGTGGAAATGTAGATGTTCTTGCACCAGCTCTGGTGTCTGTTATTTCAAGCTTTCCTACAATTAAACTGAATATTCATGGAAAATAGATTGAGAAAGGGTGTCAATAACACTGTAATAAATCCAGTATTTTATTCAACTGATTATCCAGGAACAGTTTTGGGCCACTTTCCCAATTCTTATTAAAAATAATATAAAAAAGAGAGAAAGAAGTCCTCTCATCCGTTTATGAGTTATGCCACTTTAAAAGTTGCTATATTCCATTACACAGTCCCCCACCCACTTGTTTGCCCAAAGAGACTTTGCTACTAGATGGATCCAGAGCAGCTGCCTTGCCCCAGAACAGCTGCTGGTGCTCTATATTTGCAGCTTCCTCTTGCTCTCTGATACTCTATAAAACTGTTTATATTCCCTGTAAAAGTATTTTCACTCTGTTTGCTTAGTGACCATGCACCACAAATATTCTCCTTACCACTAACAATTATGAAATGAAAATGTTTACAAAACTTTATTTAGTGCCAGTACCTAATAAACTATAGAAATGCTGTGAAGTGAATGTGTGTATGCAATGTGTATATGCATGTATGAATGAAGTATTTACCTAATTTTTCTGTGCAGCAGAGAGGTGGTGATGTACTTTTACTAGCACTACCCCAAGATTGCATGCATTTGGTGTCTACTGACTGGTTTTATAACTCTTTGAAGCTTATTTATGGTCTGTGGAAGAACTGACATGTGAACTAAATTAACTATTTTTGCAGCTTTTTTTGGAGCCTTTGCCATATCTATTCTAGATCATGTGTTTATGCCACATCAGTGCAAACTTGTTGTTTTTCCTACCTCAGATCAGGTATTTGAGCTAGTTTGTCCTGCATTGTTTTGATACTACCCATCATAAACCATTTCCCCTTTTGTTCCTGTATTGCTGTAACCCGATGTGTTCTGAAAGAGGAATTGTCCCACAGCTTTTATTAAGGCCACACATTGGAAAATATTTGATTCAATATTAGGAGGGCAATTGTTTGCCTTCGAAGGAGCTCTGCTCTGTGAGAGGGAATCACAGCACATTTCAGTTCATTGAGTTAATTGCTGCTACCCCAAGAGTCTGAGGCAGGCTTGTTTGTTCTTCTGTTTGCAGCTGGCTTGTCTTTCTCAGATGATACACAGGGTGGCTGAGCAACACTTGGTAGCTTTCATCCATTCCTTTGCTACTTTCATTTGGTATCTCACACACAGCATGTATCTCCAATGCCAAATCCTCTTTATCAAGCTCACAAAAACAGGCTGTGATGTGTTGCCAGCAGGAACAAAGTGCAATGGGGTAAAGTCTTGGAAGAGAAAGCTTTGCTTCTGCACAGAAAGTGTTCAAACCCAACAGCAGCAGGATTTGCCCTCTAGCTGATCTGCTTTCAATGCAGGGCAGGATTTAGGCAGAACCACCGCAGTACCCATCTCTCTGAACTTCAGGGACTGAGAAATGAATACTTTACCTATTGTTTTGGGTATTTTTAAAACATGCAGGTTGGCTTAGAATATTTATTGCTTTTCTTGTGATCCTGAAATCCGTGACTACTGTCAGCCCAGTACCTGTATTTATTTTATGCCTAAACTTTGTTCCCAGGGGGTGTGTGTTACAGAGATTCTTTAGTTCAGTGCTTTTTACTAACATATAAGTGAATAATAATATGATGGATTCCATATTCTTATACATTCTGATAATCTTGTAAAAAGGATTTTTTCTATTTGATTTTTTTCTGCTTAATAATTTGTTTTACACTGCAAACTGAGGGTGTAACACAGAAGCCTTCAGTTGGGTGTAGTGTTTCAGTTCCTTTCCTGCCCTCATCAAGTGCAGGAATCAGCACTTGGATTGGGACTGGGAAAATTTTATTTGAAAAATACATCTCTCTTTCCTCCAGCATTACAAGTCTCACACTCAAACATTTAGAGACCTTTACCTTTCACAGCATTTATGGGTCAGTCTACAGTGGAACCAAAAATGTTGCTTGCCACCACTAACAGCCCTGCCAGAAGCACTGCCAGAACTTATGCTCACTTAACTGAATATCACAACACAGTTAATATATAAACTCAGGTAACAATAAACTATATTCTGACAGATGACTTTGGGCTACAAGAGTTTGCAACAAGACAGCACACAGTATACTTGTTTTCCCTCGTGTCTCTGTAGCTGACCTATTCTGAAAATTGAGTTTTGTGGTGTGGAGACTTTTGAGCCTTCATAACAAAATTTTTCAAAATGTTCATGAAACATGCCTCTATATGTCTTTGTCTGATGATAAATACCTTCCATGTAAAACAGTATTTGATCTCAGTATCTTTTGACAGTGAAGAGGTTCTTTTTCTTTGGAGGATTAAAGACATGGCACTTGCTCCTTTTCCTCTTTTTATAGTGCATAAACAGATAATATGTAATACTTTTACCTGGTATTCTTCCACAACATTCATGCTACAGCAGGTACTTCTATAATTCAATTAAGATACCACAGATTGGCTTCTGTGCACCGAGGAGCAGGGTTTGTGTTTCTGTGAGTTCCTCTTTGTCTTTGGGAAAGTAGCCAGAGCTACCTCATGTACCC